AGCGGCGGCGGGGGGAGGGGCGCAGTGCGGTAGGGGAAGAGACGGTAGTAAGGCACCAACTCGTCAAAGGTGAAGTCCTGGGAGGACAGAACACGGCGCGAGGTGGGGTGGTAAAACTGCCACCCAGGCGCGTCAGGGGGGAAGCCAAGGAAGACGCAGGGAACAGCACGGGGGGACAGCTTGTCCGCAGACAAGTCGCGGACAAACGCCAGAGATCCCAAGAACCGAAACGTAGACGCATCGCCAACCTTCCCCGTCCACCGCAAGGTGGGGGAGGTCTCAGGCAAGGAGACCCGGGGCTAAAGGTTGAGCTGATGCGCTGCGTACTGAACCGCAAACGGCCACAGAAAATGGGGGGCAGCCGCATGCATCATGGACGTTCGAGCGACGTCCATGACCATGCCAATGCGGCGCTCAGCAATCCCATTTTGCTGTGGAGAGGCCGGAAGCGTGAAGGTGTGACGGATTCCGTGTGCACGACAGAAGGCTCCCAGATGGGCAGAGAAAAACTCCCCACCTCTGTTAGAGTGAAGACGCAGAACAACAAAGTCTGAGCCGAAACTCTCTCTGAGCTGGAGACGAGCTGCGCGGATCCAGTCGATCAACACCTCAGTGACGTCATCCTTGCTGCGCAAGGGGAAGACTGTGGTGTAACGCGAGTAGTCGTCAACCACCAATAGGAAGTAACGCTCGTGCCCCTGTCCACGGACGCGGGCGAGGCCCCACACGTCCATGTGAAGAGTTTGCAGTGGAGCCTCTGTCGGAGGAAACTCGGAGGAGTGAGGGGCGGCGCGCTGTCGCCCCTCGACGCAGGGGACAAAGGTAGGGGCAGGCCCTGGAGGTAGGGGAGGGAGAGACCGGGGAAGACCAGAGACAAGGACACGGGAGGCCATGCCTCGGAGATGAGGCAGGGAGGGGTGACCAAGGCGGTGGTGCCAAAGGAGAGTCTGGTGGGACAGGAGACGACATGAGCAGGGAGCAGACTCAAGACCAGACTTGGACGCTGCAGCAAACACCTGACTCGATGCAGCTACCTGACCAGACTCAGCAGTCGGAGGAGACTCAGTAGTCAGTGTGTACAGGCTCGACCCCGGCCGACGGGTGAACGTGGCAGAGTGTCGGCCTGTCCGAGCACACGTGCAGTGGGTCACCCGCTGACTCGCAGGAGTGAACTGGTCAACCCCCCTATCCTGTAGATCAGCTCCACTTACCAAGTTCGTAGAGAACAAGGGGAGGTAGAGACCTGACAGGGTGCCGAAGGGGGCTGCCGGGCACGGTAGGACAGTGGAGAAGCTAGCAAGGACAGGACCCCCAGAGGGGTCCGCTAGAGAGACTGCAACCGGCCGACTAAGCGGCATAAGCGTGGTGCGGTCTCGAAAGAAGGAGCCGGAAGCACCCGAGTCAAGGGTGAAGGTGTGCAAGGCCTGAGCCCACGTGGTACCTGAGAGAGCAGACTCACCAGCACCTGGGGCAGGAGACGCACTAGCACCTAGAGCAGCAGCCTCACCAGCACCTAGAGCAGCAGACTAGATACCGGGGTCAGGCGGCATACATAGGTGACAGACTCCCTCGGCACTAGTAGACAATGCATGCATTGCAGTGAGAATAGCATCATAGTCAAGAGCAAAGATAACTACCCTCTGCCTAAGCAGCTCCAACTAGTCAGGGAGCTTAGCGTGGTCGCCAAACTCTGTACGCCAAGTGTCGCTCAGACGCGCGAAGCAGCGGGACTCTGTGTGACTACTCGTCCCGCAAGTCTGACCAGTCCGGACACCCGTGCGAATAACGTATGGGCAGCGAGCAGGACTCAGCGACCCTCCACTCTGAGCGTACCACTCACGAAGCTGCTGGGGTGAAAGAGTCTCGCGCGGACAACGCTGATGCTTCACCGGGCCACTACAAGAAACTCCCGAACTACCCACTCCAGGACGACTCCCACTACTGCCACCCCGACAACCCCAACTGGTGTACCACTCACGAATCTGTTGGGGGGTGAGGGACTCACGCGGGCGACGCTTGAGCTGCATCCTACCACTACAAGCAACTGCGGAACTACTCACTCCAGGACGACTCCCACTACGGCCACCCCGACAACCCCAACTAGCGTACCACTCACGAAGCTGTTGGGGGGTGAGGGACTCACCCGGGCGACGCTGGAGCTGCATCTGGCCACGGCAGGAGCAGTAGTAGCAGTAGAAAGAGCAGCAGTAGGAAGAGCAGCAGTAACAGCAGTACGGGCAGGGCAGTGCTCACCAGTGGCGAGAAGGGCAGGCGTATGACGGCGGCAACGGCGATGCCGCTGCCACTGTAGAGCGAGAGCTCCGCGGCAGCTGCAGGGGTGGCTGCTCTAGGGGCGGCTGCTGCAGTGGCGGCTGCTCCAGGGGCGGCTGCTGCAGTGGCGGCTGCTCCAGGGGCGGCTGCTGCAGTGGCGGCTGCTCCAGGGGCGGCTGGTGTAGTGGCGGCTGCTCCAGGGGCGGCTGCTGCAGTGGCAGCTGCTCCAAGGGCGGCTGCTGCAGTGGCGGCTGCTCCAGGGGCGGTTGCTGCAGTGGCGGCTGCTCCAGGGGCGGCTGGTGCAGTGGCGGCTGCTCCAGGGGCGGCTGCTGCAGTGGCGGCTGCTCCAGGGGCGGCTCCTGCAGTGGCGGCTGCTCCAGGGGCGGCTGCGGTAGTGGCGCCTGCTCCAGGGGCTGCTGCTGCAGTGGCGGCTGCTCTAGGGGCGGCTGCTGGTGCTGGGCGGCTCGGCAGCTCGGCTGCCCGCTAGGGGCGGCGACGGGGCCGGGTAGTGGCGGCGACGGGGCCACTAGGGGCGGCGACGGGGCCGCGGAGGGAGGGGAGCGGCGACGAGGCCGCTAGGGGTGGCGACGGGGCCGTGTAGGGGCGGCTACGAGGCCGCGTTGGGGCAGCTCGCTCATGTCTTCGCTCGGCAGTGCTTCCTTGTGCATTGATGCTTCCGCATTGCCTGGGTCTGCACATCGGTCGCCCCTTCTCCTTTGGCGCCGAAGTTCGTGCCCACACCACCGTGCTTAATGCAGACCGTGCATTTCATTGACGGGAAACCTGCTCTTGTCTGACACAAAAAAAGCCACGAGTAGTCGTCAAACCACAGTTTGTTGTACACCCTTCCTGATAGTTCTCCTCGGATATGCCATAAGTAACATCAACCGCTTTCCCCTTGAGTTTATGCAGTTGAGCCTTTAAGGAAGAGTTCCCCATACTAGACGTGGGCGTAGCTTGACTGGTACCCCACTGGATCTTTGTCTAGAGGTACTTCACTTTGATACCCCTTTTCAGACGTGGGCCGGCGCGAGTAGTTGTGGCACCAACGGGAGGACGGTTCCGTGTAGGTTCGGAAGCGATCGGCGGATCGACAGGTGTTGATGCGGCAGTGACGACATGCCTCAAACACTCACCCTTACGCAGCACGTACATTATTATTCTTGCCACACCGTATTCCGTTACCACTCGCGACACTCACTGTTGCACTTGTCGCAACCCGACCACACGGCTCGGCTGGTAACCCACACTCCGTGCCTCCGTTTCGACATTTTCCAACCTCAGTCACAGGCCCGTCGCACATCTCCCACAGTTCGTTACCGTTACCACCATGGGAATTCGCTATATAGATCTCGCACTCAATGTTCTGCTTTGCTTTGCTAGTGGCAATTCTCGCTCGCTCGCTCAATTGCTCATGTAACAACAATGTACAAACTTGAGTAGTATAGCCAAATGTATTCCAGGCCCTCAGATTCACTTTTAGGGACGTTGATGCATCAGGGTCCCTGTGAAAAAAAGCCTGAATTTTCAGGGTTCCGGAAAACAAAAGCCTAAATTTTCAATCACATCATGCAATTGTGCAAGAGAGCAGCCTATACGACATGGTAGTAGAGGGATTCGGACCGGAAACCTTACCAATCGGTATCTACTTCACTAACCACTAAGACAGTTCATCGAGTCAACGATCAGTATTTTATAAAATAGATTTTATAATGCGGAAATGTTGGTTGACATTGTCTCGGGTGTTTTACGGGAAGGATTCGGAATGTGCATTCAGTGTACACTTCGATAAAAGTCTGAAACATCAGTGTTAGCTATGAAGTAAAGGCTGAAAAAATCAGTGTCACAAAAATCTCAACACTGAAAATTCAGTGTAGGTACACAAAACTAGGCTGAAAATCAGGAATTTCAGGGGAAAATTCCTGATATCGTAGGGCCTGATGTATACTGCTGCTTTAGGAAGGTTGAAGCAGTTTTGTGCTGTTTAGAAATCATGTTTTAATTTAGTAGCCTAGGAGCCTAGGGTAGACGCAATGTGGGGAGAGAGGAGGGGGTCCAGTATGAAAAGAGATATAGCAAGAGGAAAGATGGCAAAGAGGGTACACCATGAGAGAAATAACGTGATACTACACTACCTAACTTGTATGCAGTTACATATCTTAATCTCCCAGCATAACACTCACCTTCACTCCTCTTTCCTGACACTCTTTCCGCGTAATGCTGACAAAATAATAGTTCTTGCGCTCAGTGAGCTTATAACGAAACTTAGCCCTTAGCTTGGACTTCACAAGAACTTTCGAGATGGTATCACTCCTTATGTCACATTGGTCATATGCCTCCAAAGAAGATAACAGAGCCACGCTATGCTTCCTGAGAGTGCGCGAAGTCACGACGGATTTACCCCACCTGAAGACTGCAGAAAGGGGAGGGAGGCAGAGATGAGACAGGAGAAGCAGACGAGAGCCAAGAGCAAGCGGCGATAGAGAGGATTCATGCTTCATTGCACGCAACAAAGTTGTAAGTGGTCACTAAGCAGCAGGTAGGAGAGGGAAGAGAGGGACAGCCGAAGTGCAAGACCATTTTAACATGCTGGAACTCACTCGCGCACCCGACACACTGTAATGCATCCCTACCACGCTGAACATGCCCACATGGTGACAAGAACATGACAGCAATCTTGGTGTTATGGCATCCCTTGCTGTATGACATCCTTGAACATTCGTACATACTTAAAGTATCACCAAGCTTGATTGTTGGTCTTTTCGTCCACCACTGGTTTTGCCCGACATAAGGCCATCCGTTCTTGCCGCCGAGCACAACCGTTTTGGCGTGCTGCGCGGGGTGAGGGAAAACGAAAGAAAGTTGACGGCAAGGTGGCGTTGAGTCAGAAGCATTCAGATGAGCCATTGCTGCCATCGGTTGCAAGTGACCAAGCAAGTTAAACCATTTGCATGAGACCAAGCAAGCTAAACCCTTCAGTCAAGCCCTTTGTGCCTCCGACCACTGCTGTGACGGCACGCTGGGCCGTAAGGCGATCAAAGGCAACAGATGATGCGGCAGTGCACTTACAGCAACTGCAGGGCGCCGGGTTGTAGTCGGTACTAGGTCCAACGAAGATCCTGCACAGCAACACGGCCGCACACAGCACAGCATGGCACAGCACAGCAAATCAGAGCACAACACAGCAGCGAGCAATACGAACCCCGGCGCATGATTAGAAACACCAACTTGGAGGCCGAATCAGGCTGTGGAGCCACTCGAGAGCAGCAAAATGGTACTTCCCGCACGAACGAGAGCCACCTTGAGCGTACCTGCCAGCAGCAGCAGCAGCAGCAGCGCGAGGGGGAGACGAGCCATATGGCTTCCGCTGTGTGGGGTGACTGTGTATGACTGCTGGGACAACGGGCAAGGCTTCCCCCATTTATCATTCTCGGCATTTGGCTAGACGCATCAGGCCGGGCCTATCCTTCGCAGGATGTTTACCGGGCAAGGAAAACCAGGATGACCACCGGGCAAGGAAAACCAGGATGACCACTGGGCAAGTGTCCGGGTTTGTGCATTTTTTGCCCAGATATAGTAGCCGAGTTCTCGGTTTCGCAACCCGGCGTTGAAGCATTTTTTTTTAGGGCGTGTGTCATTTAGAATTCTGGTTCAACTTTTAGTGGTAGCCCTGTTTGTCGATGTCGCCAATTTTTCGCCACAGCATCGTGAAATCTGATTTGCTGGCGAGGAGGCGGGTCTCTCAAATTTGGCAAACAATGGTCGCCACATCTCGCCAGAGCTCTGGCAACCCAACCTTCCAGGGGAAAATGGGGTGAATTTGCCACTGACCAATGCAACTCATGGCTTTCAGTGTTTATACCGGGGCAGCTTGTACCAGTGCAACGAATCACACGATAACGGGACTCAACAACCAGCCTTATTCTGCCGCCGTTCGCTTCCGCTCGCTCTCCCCTCCTCTCCTTCGCGCCATGATACGCGCCGTGTTCCGCGGCAAGGTTCGCGCAGAGTCTCGCTCTCGGGTCCAAGGAGTGGGACTGTGCGGCGATCCCGCTCTGACGTTCCGCGAAACGGCCGCATATCCCTCAGCGCGCCCCTGAATTCACGCCGCATCGAGTTCAGCGCGACGCGCAGCAGCTGTCGCCACTGGCGCTTCGCGGACACGCTTGCAGTGCCGTCGCGCGCGGGAAAGCGCTGCCAATCCGCGCGGAGGACGCGCGGGCGGAGAGACTTGCGGGGAACGTGGAGAAGGATCCGCGCGGGGATGCGGAGGAGGGCGCTCGGGGAGCGCTGCGGATGTTTCCGCCAGGATTCCTGTTTGGCACCGTCACGGCCGCATACCAGGTGGGGGGGTCAAGGGGAAGCATGGGGGGAAAGAGGAGGGGACGCGGGCGATGGGAGAGTGTAGGGGGAAGGAGGGAGGCCAGGCTTGTTGGTGATTAGCAGGGGCCACGGCTGGTTACCAGTCGCGCCTTTGGGGTTGGGGGAAAGAGGAGAGGGGGGGGAGGAATGGGGAGGAGGGGGGAGGAGGAATATGGGGGTGGGAGGGGAGGGCTTTGGTGGTGTGTGAGGCAGGGGGGAAAGTTGAAGAGGATGACGAAGTGAGGTGTAGGGCGGCAAGAGAGGGCGTAGGGCAGCGAGAGAGGGCTACAAGGTGCGGACCGAAGCTCTCCACATGGAAACGCTGGGCGTTACATAAGCGATCTCACGTCAGGTGACAGACTCACAGCCCAAAGCAGCGGGCGGTGTGGAAGCAACATGGGTTGCGGGACAATTGTCACCTTAGGTGTAGCTGCCCGGCCCTGATGCACACATACACGCGAATGCACGCATGCTCCATGCTCCTCTGGTTGCACGGGAGGGGGCAAGTTGTGGAGAGTGGATGACACGTGGAGCGAGCGCACGCAAGGGAGGAGCGACCACACCTTACTCTTCGCTGCCCCCCTTTCCCACACCTTACTCTTCGCTGCCCCCCTTTCCCACACCTTACTCTTCGCTGCCCCCCTTTCCCACACCTTACTCTTCGCTGCCCCCCTTTCCCACACCTTACTCTTCGCTGCCCCCCTTTCCCACACCTTACTCTTCGCTGCCCCCCTTTCCCACACCTTCTCCGAGTACGCAGGTGGAGGGAGCAGCGCAGGAAGGAGGGCGAGGCGCCAGCATTTGGGACGTGTTTGCCCACACGCCAGGTACTGTAGCGCGCCAGGTACTGTGGCCCGCCAGGCACTGTACATGTTTTAATGCAGCAGAGTCTTAGCAATCTGCATGAAGATTATGGTACACTGTCGCATTATTCCATAGAACTGAAATTGTTATATGGAATATTGTAACAGCGCGAAGAGTGTAGAGAGCTGTGGTTGTGGCTAAGGTTGGAGACCGCGAGGAAACCGAGGACTCAGGGTACAGCTCGAGGCAGGGCTCGAAAGGGGGTAAGTACGGTTGGATGGGGGCCACAATGACGTGGCGGCGGGGCATGACAAGCTGAGTTGGGAGTTGGGGAGAGGGCCAGCTAAGCAAGGCAGGTCACGAGGGAAACCCCAAGGCGCCCTCACGGCGGAGAAAACCAAGAAAGGTTTGACAGGTTGTCTCATGCACAGTTGGAGGTGCTCCTAGTGCGATTCGGGGAGGGGAACAACAAAACTCGTAGAGTGACAGAGCTAAACCACTTTTGTTTGTTCTCTCGCTACTGTGGTATGCCTGTATGCTCTTCTACTAGTGAATCGGCTGGAGCAAATCTTGATCCACTAAAGAGAGGCCAAACAGAGGGTGTGCGGAGAACTAGGGACATCGTTTGTCCTAGTGCGGATCTCTTACAAACAGAAGTCTAAATGACCGGAATGTCGTTGCGGAGCGGCACCCGGTTGCCAGGGGAAGAGAATTCCCGAGAGAAGGAAGATCGCGCGGCCGAGAAAGCCAGCGCGGGACCGGCGGAGCCCGAAGCCGAGGAAGAAGAGAATCGGGGAGAGCCGAGCCACCCGGAGCAGGGAGATCGGCGATCGCGTGACGAAGAGAAGCGGCGCGAGGAGGAGTTCGCGATGAGAGCGGATCGACCGCTCAGAGGAGAACGGCGCTCGCCGAGGAAAACCTTGGAAGGTGCGAACTCGGCGGAAGTGACAACGCCGAAGGCGCGATCGTCTAATTGGCGTGTGCCGGGAGAGGAAGGATCTTCGGGAGCCGAGATCGGAGAAGGATCAGCAGGGCGCGCGTCGAGGAGGACGTTGGGAGAAGAGGGTAGCAGATACCGCTACACGAGCTTACCTAAGGTGGAGGTACCTGCACGCTTCACCGGCGATCAAGAATCAGGGCCCAGGCTGAAAACCTACGCGATGCATGTGCGCAGCGAGAAATACTGCTGGGAACTGGACGGGCTGGATCTACGTCACTTCTTCCGCTCGCTGGGCAACACACTAGCGGGAGAGGCGGAGGCCTTCTTCCTGGAAATTCGGGATCTGCTCCTCGAAGAGGAGGAGAGGGACAAGCTGGGCAGAGTTAGGCGAGATGCAGAGGGACGCGTCATTCGACTGGAAGACCCCACGGAAAGGTTCCTGGAAGAATTGCAGACTCACTTCCCGACCCAGACGCCGGCGAGGTTGAGGGAGTTTGAGCAGGCGAGGCGAGGGCATCGAGAATCGCTGCTGGCGTACTACCGGAGGGTGAAGCAGTTGGCGGAAGACATCAGCTGTCACGATCCGCGTATCGTGGTGGCGAAATTCCTGGATGGGCTCTCGGGAGAGCTGGCGCGTACTGTGAGGGATAGAATCTACGATCTGGGGCCGAACGCGTCACTCCAGCAGGCGTACGAGATTGCTTGGCGACACGAGCAGTCACTCAGTCTTTATGACCTGGGAAGACGGACAGACAGGGGACCTCGGGACAAAGAGAGAAGGCCAGTGACATGGAGTGGGGCCTTGCTGGCCGAAGGTGAGGAAGAAGAGCTGGACAAGGCGAGGGAGCGCAGAGGACAAGTCAGACGGGCCAGGAATCCTGCTGCGGCCGCCGGAGAAGAACCAGTGTGCTACAAATGCCACGAGCCTGGCCACTTCAAGAGAGACTGTCCCAAGGTCCAGACGTGCTCATATTGCCAGCGGAAAGGACATAACAAGGAAAGCTGTTATACTCGTCAGAGAGAAGAGCGGCACAAGGGAGGGAGGCGCAGTCGGATAGCAGCTCTGGAGGAAGAGCTGAGGAAGCTGAAGGCCGAGGAGGTGTCCAGCGGTGAAGAAGAGGAAGCCACCGGGTTGATGGCCAGAGGACAGAGTGAGTCGGAGGATGACCTGGAGGAACCAATATTCATGGCGAGGGATGCAGACCGGGCAAGGGAGGAGCTGGGCCTGAGAAGCGAAGGGAGGGATAACAGAAGCTCTACCCCGATAGCAAGACGTGGCCCGAGAGCAAGCGTAGAACGCTCGGTAGAAAGAGCAGAAGGAGTGGTGACAGCAGCAACAGCGGCAGGAGAGGTCGGGCCCCGACGTCACCCGTTCGAGAGGCTGGCGGCACGTCCCTGCGTAGTAGAGGCATTGGAGGGGACGGTGGCAGTGGAAGGAAAATACCCAGGAACGACAATCATCGATACAGGAGCATCGCAAGTCTTGGTGGGGAGAAGGATGGCTGAACGGCTGGGGTTGCACCAGGAAGACAAGGTGACCAGGGAAGGTGTAAGGATACAGACTGCAGAAGGAGGAGGAGGGAAGTGGCTACCTAGGTCCTTGAAACCTCAGGAGTTGGTGCTGTCCCCAGGGAGCGAGAACGAAACAAGGATCAGGGTGCACTGCCTCATCTCGGACTCGGAGGACTACGACTTACTGCTAGGTATGGAACTGCCGTACAAAGTGGGGGCCGTGGTAGACACCTGGACCGAGAAGGTGACTTACCAGCCGCTATATTGGGATCCCGAAGCAAGGAAGGAAGAGCATCTAGCAGCGAGTCTGCCAGCACGATTCCTGAGGGGAAAAGTGGCCTACCAGGAGCCGTCACCGGAGAGGGTGCCAGAGTGGAACTACGAGGACTGCGGGGTGTTCCTGGAAAAGACCAAACAAAGGAAAGAGGTGGAAGAGGCAGCCGGGGAGAGAGTGGGAGAGCTCCGGGAGGCAAGAGGGTTAGCAGAGCCTACTTATGACTT